TTTCCTTCTTCTCTCGTGTGTGTGTGTGTGTGTGTGTGTGCGCGCGGTGCGTGTGTCTCCCTTTTGGGTACCGCTGGCTGCCGCTGCCTCCTTTTTCCTCCAGCCCCTGTCTATTTATGTGTGTATCTATCCCTCCTCAAGTCACTCCCTGCTGCAAACTTCCCCGGATCGCCTCCCGCGCACCGGAGTAGAGCCAGGCAGAGATTTTGGTCGGGGACTCTCGCCGCGGCAGCATGTTCCAGCCCACACCCAAGCGGTGTTTCACCATCGAGTCGCTGGTGGCCAAAGACAGCCCCTTGCCCGCTTCTCGCTCCGAGGATCCTATCCGCCCGGCGGCTCTCAGCTATGCCAATTCCAGCCCGATGAACCCTTTTCTCAACGGCTTCCACTCCACTGGCAGGGGGGTTTACTCCAACCCGGACTTGGTCTTTGCGGAGGCCGTCTCCCACCCTCCTAACCCGGCCGTACCGGTTCATCCCGTGCCCCCTCCCCACGCCCTGGCCGCCCACCCGCTGCCCGCATCGCACTCCACGCACCCGCTCTTCGCCTCGCAGCAAAGGGACCCCTCCACCTTCTACCCCTGGCTAATACACCGCTACCGGTATCTGGGCCACAGGTTCCAAGGTACGTACAACTTTTCTTTTCCCCCCCCATCCCCATCCCTCCATCCTCCGGTCAGTCCCCGCACCCACCGATGCGGGGGGACCGCGGGGGGCTGCCCGGAGCCGCCGTCTCGCTTCGGTTGGGCTGAGATGGGGGGTTTTTTTTGGGCCCCCCCCCCCCTCCCTCCCCCAGGCCGGAGGAGCTGTCAGAGCCGAGGGGTTTGGGCTCGGTTTTGCTTTGCTGCTTTTCCCGGTTTGTTTTTGGAGGAGGGGGGGGAAGGCAAGGCCGGCCGGGACTTCTGCGGCTTTCTCTCCGCGATTAAAAGCAGGGCGGGGGGGGGGAAGGTGGATATATTTTTTGTTGTTGTTGTTCCGGTGTGTTAAAAGCTACCAAAAAGGAAGCCGTCCCGCAGAGAGGGGAACGGAGGGGTGCCCGAGGTTTAGGTTCCCCCCGGCTGCCGGGGCCGCGGGGAGTCACCGCCGCCTCCCCCCCCCAAATCAGGCTGCTCCCCTCTTTAGAGGGGACGGGGAAAAAATAAAACGAACCCCAGAGAAAGAAGAAAAGGGAGAAAAAAAATAAATCCTAGCACCGGAGGAGAGAGGGGAGATGGTTTTGGGAGGGAGAGCCAGGCTGGGGCAGAGAGGGCGATTCCCTCCGAAGGAGCAGGGAAGGGATCCCGGCTGCCAGGAGATTGAGAACGGGCTGAAGGAAAAATAACCAAATCCAATGGCGCACAATCAATAAAATCCCCCCTCGATTAACCCTTTGCAACCGGCAGCGTCTTCTCCGAAGGGTGAGCCTATTTCTCCCCTAATGGGTCCAGCTCCTGCCTCTTTCGTTATACGTATACACACACAAAAAAAAATTAAAAAAAAAAACAAAACAGTCCCAGCTCGGAGGGATCCATCTCCTTTTTTTTTATTTTTCTTTATTATTTCCGAACGAAAACAAACCACCTGCATTATCCATTTCCCCGGCCTTCTGCAGCCGAGCCGCTGCAGCCGGGTTGGAAAAGGAGTCTCTCTCTCTCCGAAAGCAGGCGGACGGAGGCACAAAATGGATTATTACCCTCTCAGAATAAAATTACAGGTTTCGCTCACCAAATTATTTGTCGCAGTCATCAGGCGATTGGTAAAGAGCGGCAGATGAAAGGCGGAAATGTCCTGGTGTGGAGCCACAGCCTGGTTTCAAACACACCCTCCTCCCGCAACGATTTTTAATGCGCTCACGGAGAAGGACCCGCCGTGGCTTTTCCACCTTGGAAGGACCGACCCGGAGAAGCGGCTCAGGGCCAACCCGGGGGGGCAGACCCACCAAAAAAGCCCCTTTTGACCCCCCCCCACAACCTCCCCATCCAGGCCGGCCGAGGAGGGGGGCTGCCCCGTAGCTTTTCCCGAAGTTTGTTTCTTATTTTCCCCGCTCCTTCCCGCACCGCCGGGGCGGCGGGAGGGGGTACGGCGGCGGGGGGAGCCCCCTCTGCGGGGAACACACCGGGAAAACGAAGGGGGAGAGGGAGGAGAAAGGCCCCGACGGAGGTTTTGGGCGAGGGAAGCGGGGAGAGGCCGAGGGAACGGGCTGGCGGCTCCCGGAGAGCGGCGACCGGCCCGGGAGGGAGCGGGGGGGGGGGCCACAGAGAGCCCCGG